AGGCAACCCCCGATAGAATTTGCAGACTCTGATACAAAGCGAAATAAACTGCAAGCCTCGATGAATTCTTTTCACCCTACCCGCTGCTCGTCTATTTTGAACGCGTTAAAAATTCATGTCTTCGAGGATGCTTACTTCTTTCACGTCGTCTTCTTTTCAGCCTGCCGGGGACTATGGTCAGGTCGAAATAAACCGGGCCACTACTCCCGGAGAAGTGATTCAACTGTTCGCCACAGTGCATCGACTTATGCTTCGATTCTTATGCTTATGATTCGATTATGAAATATCATTTGACGTTATGGGATCTTTTAAAGTACGACCATTAGGACGTTTAAATAATTGGAATGGTTCAGCTCACAGTGAACTGTTCTCTAGGGACAGAGAATAAGAGCACTGTTCTTGGACTATAAAACGCATTATCTTTTACGTTCGGTATAATGCGTGCAAATATAAGGTATTATACAGAAGCATGAACGCGAATATATTGGTCTAGATAGAGAAAGAGAGATAGAGAGAGTACGAGGACAAGGTTAATCATGCCGGTATACACTGGGTCAAAATACCCGTATGCGTCAACACAGCCTGCTTGTGTTAATGCGTGAGAGGGCATAAGTCGACGGCTCTATTACAAGAGGCGGGATTCCACAGTTGTTGAGAGCCTGTGGTTTCGACATGGATACCCACCACGGGTTTACTTGAACATACACACGCAGAAAACTACGTCAGACCACGTCAGATATCACAGATCAGCTGTTCGGTACCTCGTGGTACTCGGTTACTCCACATAATACCATGAGAAAGTCGCTACCAAAGTAACAATCCAAAGTTACTGCGTAGTTTCGTCGCTTTAACCTTGCGGGCCGCATCACGTTGATCTTCCCTGATGTCCCGACTCTCTCTTGTTAGTACTCTCCACTGACTCACGTTAAAATACATTGAGCCAAGGCTTGCGGCGCGGGTTATTTTGATCCCGCGCCACCAGTCGAGGATTAACGTGACTCCACCGCGATCAATCCATGGTCTACGAGCTCTCTGCTCCGAAACGAAGACGCGCGCCGCGAATTTCATCCCCCTCGAGGCAGGGCTCCTGCTCGGGAATAAAGGTGCCTCTTCTTGTAGCCACAACTCGCAACCTACAATTCGGTGGCTTCCTACGCCACCGCCCTTTCGCGCGGGGCGGCTCAACCACTCGTGCCCCGGCCACCTCTGACGAGTGCCAAGTGTGGCGGGAATTATGCAATTATTGCGTTGCGCCCGACAATTGTCGCGCGGAAAACGGCGGGTGCCTGAATGGCATGAGTGTCTCGAGGAAAGGGAGCGAGAAACGGGGATTTCCTCGCCGATTTACTACCGAGGCCCCCCCACACACACCCCTCGCACGGTTCCTTGGTTAATTCATTCTGTGATGTGGCCTGGCTAAAAGAGAGAAGTGTCACGAAATGGTACGACTAACGCTTTCTAGATAACTTTTAAGATATAGTTCAGGGCCTCACCGAGTCCTCTTCAAGCTTAGCATAGGCTAATCGTAACTTTCAGCCTTGATGTGATCGAAAGAAGTGCCCAAGAGTCTAAACCCTTTGGCACTGAGGGATCCTGAAGAGACTACTTTGGAGTCCGCTGCACGCCAACTGCTCATAGAACAGAAAGAAGACCTTGGATCGGGTGTTTTGATCGCATCGAATTTAGGAGGTCACAGGGTCAACAGTGCCAAACATTCCTCCTAAAATACCTGGAGGAGTGAGCCAGCGTTTTCCACGCGCGACGCTCCTTTCTCCTGGCGTGCCAGTGTTCTGTGTACAGAGAAGTTTCAGGGCGTCAACAGGGAATCCTCGCTGGCCCTAGGCGCATCCGCGTTAGTAGACCTCCCTTGAAGCTGAAGAACCGACAGGATACCCTGAAATCCGTGAAACATTATCAGTCCAATCCAGTTAAACTCCAGATAATCTATAAAAGCTATTTAATCGTTCCAGATCAAGTGCGTTCAACTAAACAAAATACCGAGGACTTAGCAAGCGCACGAGGCGATAGAAGTAGTTTGATTTTACGTGAAAGCGACTTAATCTATCGCTGGACGACGGTTTATTTTCTAGTCGATACGATGGGCCGAGACGAGGCAGCAGAAAAGGGAGAAGAACAAAAAGAAGAAGGGACAGATAGGCACGGTGCAAACCGCTCAACGAAGGAAATAGAATTCAGTGGAGAACTTCCTTCATTTCGACTTTTACCGGCTCTTAGCCAAAGGAACGTTGCGTTGTAACGGGTGACGCTCGCACAAAGGTCGTTAAACTTTTACGCTGAATGTTTTTCTTTATCATAGATGAAGAAGTCGGTAAAAAGTTTATGCAACTCCGTTTTATATAACTCCGCTCTCAGCGAGGGGAAAACAAATTTTATGACTAATAAAATTTGTCGCGTGGCAGTGATTCGTCACCAACGCAAACACGCTTCTTTAATATAAGAGCTTAAGGATCTAAACCGAGGATCTCGAAAACGTTGACAATAATGCCTTCATGAGGTGCGCTGACAAAGGCACCCTATATTCCCCAGACGGCATAAATTTCTCTCTGCTTGAAGCGTTCGGTTACGTTTATACACCGACCTTTTCCTCTGTCTGAAAAATCGCTTAGCTGGTAAGCACGCACAATGACTCGCTCGTCACGGGGAAATTCGTTCGATCGGTTACGCTGTCGAGCCCCAAAGATTTGTCAGCCGAAGCCGCGGCGCGGGGACGGCGTTCCCTGGACGAAGTTAGGCGAAAAGAAACGAAAGAAAGGCGAAGAAGAAACGAGCTGGCAATCTCATCAATTCAAACATCCATGGTAGATACCCCTGATAATATTTACTGCACGGTCCGAGGCGGGGGTGGTCGGAGGGCCGTGGAAGAGCCACTCTGGAAGAGATGAGTCGGTCCATTCAAAAGACGCTATTAACAGCGCTATTGTCAGGACGACGTGAAAGCGGCGTACGTGAAATTTAAAGTGAACCAATATCACGCTACTAATTCCAGTTTGGTTCGGGAAAGTATCCTGAAACAAAAAAAAAAAGGGTACCGTTAGGATACATTGTTCGTCACGAAACAGTGATACCACGCCACTTGACGTTCTCGCCCTAAAAATAAAAGCGTCGTAACTGGATTACGCTTGTTTATGTAAACGCGCATTATGCAACGCGGGATTAACGAAGCATCGTATCCGCCGATCAACGTGAATCCCCGTAACGAGTCGTTAATACTAACTCGAATTGAAGTGAAATTTAAAACGTACGCAGCGGCCACGATTTCCACGAGATGCGGGGGTCGAGGGAGGGCCCACCCTCGGTAGTGATCATCGACTGGAACCAGGGATCGAGGAACGCATCGTCCCGAGGAGATCACAGAGAAAAGAGAAAAGTTTACGAGGCGCGTATGCGCTGCACACGATCCGGGCTACGGCACAATTCGCCACTAATTGATTTTACGACGCCCGTTATATTGACCGTGAAGATCGTCGACATGGCTCGCAGGGGTGCAGATGACACCCTGGTGCGAGCCATGCATGACGCCCTTTTTCGGGGACACCGAGGAATCTCTATGCACCCTGATCCTCGGGAGCGATTTGATCTAGAGCCTGTGTCTGCGCTCTGCTCTTTGTCTTTTAACACTTCCAGTGCCAGGCATACTCGTGAAAATATACATTATGTTAGTATTTAGTTTAACAACTCGATGAAAATTCGCGAATCCTAGCCTGACTTATTTTTCTCCAACACCTTAGCTTCACGATTCATTTCTTAATCCTTAGTGAACATTTCTGGCACCCATGTATGGGCTTCATGGACAAGTTCAGCCCAGGAAGAGTTTGTAAACTAAACGTTAACGATATAGAAAGAAGAACTTGTAAATAGTCGCGCAATCCAAGAATAGTTTCGGTATAGAGGTCACAGCCTCGATTTCCGTCTCGTGGCATTAGTTGCCCATAAAAGAACGGAATCCCCAGGCCTCCAATAGGATCGAGACGATCTCAAAAGGAGGCAAGATAGGAACGAAGGAAAATCCGTCTCTCGTTCTCTACCGCTCCTTCGCTATCTCTCGCTCCAATGGACGACGAGACAATAGAGCGACGTTTGCAAGACGCGATAGCAGTCGGATTAATTCTCAATCGATTTCAAGGGAACGAAGGCCTCCTCGACCCTTAGAATTCGGGCTTCCTCGACGAATACGCAACTTGTTGTTCGAGCGTCGCTTCAAATACAAGGTTTGAGATTGATCATTTGTCAGTAATCCAACGCGCTGGCCTTTGTAATAAGGAACTTTCAATAAGTAAATTCAATATATTGAATCTATATATGGAATAAACATAAAAAAAAAGAACAACAAAGGTTGCAGTTAACGTTACTACAAACACCAGTACGATCTTCTAACAGTAATCATCTCCTAATTTTACATCGGTACTCTTTTAATGCGCTTCAAATGCTTGCAAAGCAGCCATGCACGTTTGGAGTATTGGCACGCGCAAAGGGGCCCGCGAGGATCGAATTATTGTTATCGCAACCATCTGGCCGTCACTTCGACGAGCCTGAAAGCCGACGCTGGCGTTCTATCAGATCAAAGGAGGCCGATGCTTCCGCTCGCGCAGAATGGAAAACATAACGCGAAATCCCCTGGCGAATAGATTTCCAAAGTGAGCGTCGAACGGATTGCCAAAGTACCCCGGGGACCGCGAGAGTTTTACGGGAAGAGGAACAAAGAGACCTGGCCCCCGTGCGTTTGGATCCGTTCGCTATTGTATCGGTCTTCAGGGGCTTCGAATATGCGATGTCTACGATCCAAGATACGGAGCGAAGATCAAAAGAGTCTGTTCGCCAAGTTCGTCTCGAAAGTGAACGTTTCTTTCCGTTGATGCGGCATCAAGGTTGTCTTCGCGAGTACTCGACTTCTGGGGAGTTGGATGGGAGGAATCCAGAGGAAGCGTTGCACTGAAGTCATCGATGTGAAATCATGGATATTATTACATGGATTAGATTGCACGGTGAGTAGGTTACTGAATTTGGATAGAGTTACCTTGAAATCATTGAAACATTAATTTTTTTTTAATCGTGATAGAGTTTTCGGAGAAGGGTGCAGGGTCCCCCATCGATGAACGCATGAACTGCCGATTTTAGGGTGGCTGGAAAATCGATGAACTTCTGGCAGGTCCTGAGGACTAATCGTGATCGATGATCCGGCACGCAGCAGCACGTGAGTGGTGATCTATGGCGTGGAAACGATCGCGATATATGGTCGAGAAAACGTTTTCGCCAGGCGTCGTTTGTTCGTCGATGAATTTAATCATATTTCTCATTTTCATAGCATTTGTTTTCAGGTTAATATTTCATAACTGATATAATAATGGAAGTATACTATCTCGTTGATAGATAAGAAAAATATTTTCTATCTCTTCTAGACCATACTCCGATGACGACATAACGTCCATAGGCCTGCAAAAAATAAAATATACTATAGGAACATAAAACCAGGTTTAAAAGATAGTGTCGAGGCTCGATTTTGACTGATTTTCGAAATTAGACAAACCGGGCCAGGAATGCGGGGGCAACTAATTGCTCCCCGGGTTTCGACCCTTCGAGCATACCGACGCGTTCATTTTCGGGGCACCAGAATGGTACGCGATAGAAATCTCGAAATTATAGCTCGCTATATAGATGTTCCCGTGGACAGGGAAGCTCGTTAGGCGGTCGAGAGTATCGATGACCCTCATTAGGTAATCATCTTTTAATTAAGCCCGAAAGAAGGGGAGAAAGACGCCGCTGTTACGAGCGCGAAGCGTGATTACCTTGCTCTACCGGTTCAACGGACGGGTTTGTGTCTTCGAATGGGACTGACATACTACTTGACGCACTCTAATCTCAACGTGTATGGATAGATACACCTCGATCCTCTGTCAGGTGTACTTTTAAAGCGGCAGGGAACTCGTAATCTTCCTTTGTGGCGAACGACTCGGCTTTTTCTCCACAATACGTGACACGTGTTCCATTCTTCGAAGCGACGATACCGCCCATCTTGCTTGCACGTGTTTACGCGTAATCGTTTCGCGTTACAGCCAAATATTATGACTCTCGTGACCTGTTTGTCGGGACTGTAAACAATAAATCTCTTGTCGAGCGTGCGAGTTTAAAATTCAAACCATAACCTTTACTATTCAGAATTCAACGATCGTATTAAAATATAGCCAATAAGAACAAAGATCTATAATCACCTTTGTGGGAATTTTTCCATGTATCTTGACAAAGGTTAGTAACACTACTGTTTCCCGCCAAAATCTACCGCGGTCACACTTGCATAACCTACAATTGTAATCTAGTTATTGTAACCGATCGACACTGAAAATTCGTACGAATGCACATTCGAATAACGATTGGAAGGTAAAGAACGTTTGATTTGTTATTTTAGAGTAAAAGTTTCGATCAAAATTACGTATCACGTTGAAAATGTATCATTGTACGTTTTCATTTGGCGTCTATTACATCGTTCTCGATCTTTCTATATCTTTCTATACGATTCGTCCGTCAGGTAACGTCATCTGTGCCCATTTTTATGCATGTAGAGCAGACGAAAAACGAGGTATCATCGAAGGGGAGATGCAGAGGATAGCTCTGGTAATTGATACACAGAAATCGCAACTGACCTGCGGAGGATGGGTTCGTGGAGGGATGGTCGACGAACGGTTGTTTGACGGCGCCAACCCCCCTGTCGAAGCACTGCGAACCTGGTATCGCATTCACGGTCCACTGCTTCAGGATTCGGGTCTCCTACCATGCCTCTACGCTGTCTCGTAAAAAAGAAAGGAGAGAGAAAGGGACACGGCGAAGGCTGAGCGTCGTCGACGATCCGTAACCCTCGATCGTCGGTGTCAAACGTATCGCGCGGGCGAAACATACTTAACAGATGGTTAGATGAGGAACGCATTTGTCTTACAAATCGCGGTTACGGAACGTCCATGTTGCCTCGTGGTATGGAAACACTTCGAGATCCCTGCTTATCGACGGAGATTTATCGACCATGCTTTGAGAGAATTATTTATCGCGAAACTAGGGACGCGTGGCGTCTAATATCTTCGTCAGGGCGTCTTGAAAAAGTCTCGCGGTAAGATGATACATTCTCGTGTTCATATTGTATTATTCAGTCTTTATTCTTTTCATTTGCTTATGCATACATACGTGGATGTTGTTTAATGTGCTTCAGGGGTTTTTCCCACGTCAGGGAAACAGATAAATACTCGATGTCGAATCGCGAAGGTAACCACAGTCGCATCACGTGTTCGTCGTATTCCGATACCGAGTCATGAGTGCGACTGCATGCTAATCAGCAGATGGGAGCAGGGAATGAAAATAGGAGGTGCTTCGAGGGGGGCTGCTTCGGGTAAAAAGTAGCACACCAAGAGGATGGTAAACCGTTTTAACGATCTTATAAAGATAAATTGATATTAATCCGTTAGATTTAAAAGAATAGATAGCTTTACCAAGTATTACACGTTCTGGCAAGCGAAGTAATCTACGAAGAGGGCATAAGTCGTGGTCGCGTGGTAAGAAACGCCTCGGCAATGTACACGGCAGGTGCGCGTGCAGACAGCTCGAGGCGCTTACCAGTTAACCATGGGGCGGGCAAACTTTTTCTGAAAGGGCCAAGCAAGAAGCTGCGGGATTTACCGTGCCAAAAAGAGGTCACGCTATGCTAAAGCGAACACAAGTCTTTTTAATCATCTTGTCAGGGTAGTATAATCCGTACATATCATCCGTAAAAGTTCTCACTGGGATACTACTGCTGCAACAGGCATCGTTTCTACGTTCGTGGCGTGTTAACCTTTTAGATAAAAAGAATACGAATGGCAAAGATATTCCTTACCCTAAAGCGAATAGATTAGTTGAAGTTCGTAAAGATAGTTTACCGTGTGTGTCCATTTACTCTACCGTGTGTGTCCAGCACTCGAGAGAGAAGATGAAAATGAATGGACGCAGCTGTAAGATTCTCATTCCCCGAGCACGCATTGGCTTTTTGCCAAGTCGTGAGCCCGAGCCATTAACGCGCGGGATTGCTTATCAGTTGCTGAGTCCGCGTTATTGCGACGCGGTCGTCGACGGATGACCAACCGAGCGACACGGCTGTGTTTCGGTCCCTGTGCCACCTAGATGCCCCCACGTCTCGTAACTCGCCAGATATCGACCATAAACGACGAAAGTGATCGCGCGTCCCTGATATCGACTTACCATCGATTTTATCAATAAATGACAAACAAATTCTCTTCTAGACATTTTTTTATTTTATTATTTATTATGTTTTCAAACGTTATAATAGGATTATATCCCCTCCCTCGTTTTCATAACCTAAAGATAACCTTACTTTTCTTCGATTGATAATTGGGCTAGATGTTATCGACAGACAATTAGATTTATCGTAACGTACAAAAAATTACGTGTGTGTACGTGTGTGTGTGTGTTCGTAAGAGGGGTTAAGTAATAGAAACAATTACTCGAAAGTATGAGAATACGTAGTGAACGTATATTTCGAAATAATACCATCGACACCCTACATAGTCATCCTACACTCGTTTACCATTTACTTCCTGGAATAATTGATTACTACGGAACCTTAATTATAGGTTACCGTGCATAACAATAAAACTTTCATTTTTACCTGCATCTCGTCCAGCTTGGTGTCAAGCTGTGATCGATCGACAGTCGCATTCTAACCTCCGTGAAATACCAAAAATGCGCTGTAATGGAAAAATTGTGAACAATCAAAAGTATTTAGCTAAAAAGAAATACGACAAATTCGTAACCTGCGAACATTTAAACATGGTGGAAGAAATCGCGTCGGCGGTACAGTGTTGCCAGTACGGAAATGCTCGATGACGCTATTGCCAGGTTTGCTCCCTCCAAAACCGCGCGTGCATTGGCAGCATTGTTTTTTGGTAGTTTACAAATAAAATGGCCGATATATGAGGCTATTTTGTATGGACAATAAAATATGCAATTCTGTAAAATTAATGACCATCGGCCGTTCGTGTATGTACGTGAAAGTATAGGTACAGTGCCGCGAAATACGAGAAAAGAAGGTGAAGTGTGAGTGAGCGTGTGGGAGTGCCGTGAGAAGAAGGTGGAGGTTGTCTTTCAAGACCCGTGGACGCCGCGGGCCCGAAGACCGAAACGAAGAATCACTTAAGGGACTCTAATACATAGAAAAGCCAGCCGACCGCTGTATTTTTTCCATTGGCGCGCGGTGGCGCGACAACTAAACGAAAACGACTCTAGATTTGCGGAACCTGGTTTACAGCACACGGGCCCCCTCTGCCGCCTGCTCCAATTCTTCGAGTGTTCTCGCCTCACCTCCTGAACACTGTGTGTTCCTGAGTCAGGGAAAACAACACTTGGGTACACGCCGTGTACACCGTTGTTTTATGTCACATATGATAACAAACACACAGCGTTGACCACCTTGCAAACATTACTCAACGTATACTGATCATCCAGACCTATCGAACAGCACTGCGTACCCCAATACTATTATACCACAGAGCCGCTTTAGGCAGATATGATTCCCAATCCTGAAACCAAAGGCCGAGATACTGGAGTGTGACGGGTACGTTTACTTAGAACCTTTCAAAATATTTCCCGCAGACCAATTCGTGGTAGTGGAGAGAAGTGGTGTGGACGATGCGTTGACAGAGACGGAGGGGCCCACGAGCACCGCGTCCAGCCAGCCCACCCCCTCCGTTACCCCTGTGTCAAACATGTGCACCACTCCTGGCAACGTGGGCACAGGATTTGGGTATACCTGGTCCTTTGGCGGACCTGGTGCTGAAACCCGAGAAAATGCTCAGGGTGAACTCACTACCAATATTAGTTACGCGGTGAACAACAATCAGGATCAGAGTTCGAGTCAGAAGATTCAGGTCGACATTAAGCCCACCAAAATCACCAATAGTACGCACCGAAGACCAATGTTCACTATGAACGAAACTTGTCAGCAAACTCCAACCACCCACCATGGCCATACAGCTGGAGCTCACAATCAAACTCATGTCCGTATTAAAAAACAACACGATGTATTTTCGTTAACATGCGATAAAGGCGGTTGCAATTGCGACGCCGCGCATCCGACACCCCCGCCGTCTCTTTTCTCTAATACGTTAGTTTTTACCACAGCCGATAAGCATGCCATGAGTAAACATTTCATGACACCCCTTGGACCAATACAACTTACAGCGGAAGAGTGCAATGAAATTTTAATGAAAAGAGCAGCAGCTGCCTCGAATCAAGCCAACGTAAACAATGTGACGACGAGTCAAACAGATAGCACAGCCCATTTTGGACACGTTTTAACGCACGTTAATACCACTCAAATTGAAACCAAGGTAAAGCAACAGCAAGATATGGGAAGTCAGGTCCGTGTACCAAAAGAAAGACCGTACTCCTGTTCTGAATGTGGGAAGTCGTTTCTCTTGAAACATCACCTTACCACGCACGCGAGAGTGCATACCGGGGAACGACCTCACGTTTGTGTTCATTGCGGAAAAAGTTTTGCACACAAACATTGTCTTCATACTCACCTGCTCCTCCATAGCGCGGATCGACCGTATCAATGCCGCGAATGTAAAAAATCTTTTACATTAAAACACCATCTAGTAACGCACACGCGTGTACACACGAGGGATCGACCATTCATTTGTCAAGAGTGTGGGAGAGCATTTCCTTTAAAACGTCACCTAGTGACTCATAGTAAATTCCATTCAGGAGAGAGACCTTTTGTTTGCGAAGAGTGTGGAGAGTCGTTTTCGCAAAAGGACCATCTCACGATGCATTCGCGCTTCCATGGCAGTCTACATCCATTCGTATGTCATGATTGCGGGGCAACCTTCCAGAGGAAGTTCGAGTTAGTGAATCACGGCCGCCTCCACGGCAGAGTTCCACACTCGTGTACTGTTTGTGGAAAAGAATTTCTACAAAAGAGAACATTATTGGCACATATGCGTTTACATACAGGAGAAACACCGTTTGCTTGCACCGTTTGTGGAGAGGCTTTCCCTCGAAAAACGGACCTGGTTGCCCACTCTAAGATTCATAACAACAATACGAACACGGATGAAAAGGGTCTGATGTGCAGGTAAGCATGATTTCTATACTGGTAAATTTTATTGTACCGTATTAAGGTGTGACAAGCAAAAGAATTGATTCAGGAAAACTACCGACAGTAAGAATGGAACAGTAGCAATGGAATTGAGAGGCTGGATACTTTCATTTCTTAGTCAAGTCGATTCATTCATTTGTCAGACCTTAAGCATTTCGAAACGTACATTTAAATCAATTTGAAACGAGTATCCTTCAATCACTTATGCTATGTGAACTGTTTCAGGGAATGTGGATTGGACTTCTCGAATCGAGAAGCCCTTACTTTGCACTTAAGGTTACATTCTGGTGATCGAACGCTTGTTACGGACCTTTGTGGACTAGCAGCCGCCTTCCAACAAACTCCTGGACACTTCCTCACCCCCAACACTCCAGCAACCCATCAGGTATCACCTATATCGGCATAACATACAGAACACGTTTGTAAAAATGTTGGTATTGCAGATGAATGGACCGATTGGAAACCCCGGTGTCAGCCATATGCACGGTGCGACGCAAACATCACCACCAGTGGGAGCGGGCCCAAAACCGAAACCACATGTTTGTCCTGATTGCGGTCGTGGATTTGCACAGAAACACGGTTTGTCCCAACATCAACGGCGTCACACGGATGGCAGCTGCCACATACGATCCCACGTGTGTGATAAATGTGGCAAAGCCTTTTACCAGAAGAACCATTTGCTACTGCATCAACGTCAGCACATGGATCCTCCTCCGAGTATACTCCGGCAACAGCAGAGGCAAGCTGCGCAGGCTGCTGCCCAGCAAGCACAACAACAGCAACAAGCGCAGCAACAACAACAGGTGCAGCAACAACAGGTGCAACAACAACAAGTGCAGCAACAACAGGTGCAACAGCAGCAGCAGCAGCAGCAACAGCAAACACAACAGCAGCAGCAGCAAACGTGCACGGTAGACACAAAAACAATACAGCTACAAGCGATACAGCAACAAGTGCAACAACAAGTTCAACAACAGGTACAACAGCAAGTACAACAACAGGTACAACAGCAAGTACAACAACAACAACAGCAACAACAAGCGTGCTCTGTGGACACTAAAGCAATACAGTTAAATGTCACTATGTGAGACGATATAGAAAGTGGGGACTGGACAGTCCCTGGAACAATAGCACTCCCAAATGCGCACCCGGCTGCCACCCTCTGCACGCACTTCTCTTGTACTAACAATACACATTAGATATATTTATTATCTCTAGAATCGAATACGAAGTAATCAATTTTATTACAAGAGTATATATACAAAGTATACATATTATATTCTAAATATGTAAGGCTTGTAACAAGAAAATAAAAATAACCATATATTAGTGTTTTACATATACTTTATATATCATTTACTCTAGATATGTAAAATGAAACTAAACAAATTAGTTGCCTTAATGAGATGAAGAATTTTAATGAATATATTAACTATTGTTTGGTGAACTTTTTTTTTTTCATTTACTTTTAATTAGTAGGACATCACTTTATAAGAAAACGCATATTGAATAAACAAACATAAAAAAAGAATAAGTTTTTTTATGTACTACTGCTTTGTTGTTATCCTTCATGCTGTGCTTGTATGACGGAAGTCGAGAGAAACGTTTGATCGTGTGAGTGATCAGTAAGGATGAGTACGTAGAATGTATCAAGAAAGAGGGAGAGGGTGGCAGACACAGCGCATTTACGGAGCATTTTAAATTGTAGGTCTGCCCGACGAAAAAGAAGAATGAGTGGTGTCTAATACGTACTTTTACGTTACACGGTACGCGCAATTTGTTTAACAAATTCTAGAGAACTAAGTAGAATCGCAAAAATTTATATTTCATTGTCGTTTTTAATTGATTTCGTAGAATCGTGTACATTTCGAATTGTTAAAATGTTTTGTTTTCATGTTTTTACATGATCGTACTGTTTCTATTTCTTAACTCCCGTACTATTCTAAGTTCGTGGTAACTTGGACCTTTTTTTTTACTTTATAATATTGGGATGATATGCGTGAAAGGCGTTGACATGTTCTCGAAAAATCACTCAGTATAGCGGACTTTTGTAATAGTTTGTCAGAGATATGTAATAGTTAATAGAATTGCGCAAAAAAAAAAAAAATGAAAGAAGTAATAAAGGTAACTTTCCTACATAGTTTTAACACATATACATATTTTTCCAGACAAACACAGGCACGCATTCGTTCCCAGCTTTACGCTAAAATTAATCACGAACTTGAACGATATTCGAGAAATTTTTTTTATGTAACGTCAGGCATTTGTTCGATCTTTTTCAAGTAAAACAATTTGCGTAATACGGGTATAAATGCTTTCGCCATTAATCAGATCATCTTCGGTTACATAAAAGGTTAATAAGACTATTGCGCCTAGAAGAAAATAATATATTACAGTACGTATGAGAAAGAATTTATTTTTTTATATTCTAATACTTTTTCTAGCCATAATAACTCTTATTAACTTTTTACGTATCGGAAGACGATCTAGTTAATCATCGAAAGAGTTTATATTTGTACTGCGTAAATATGTCGTACTTGAAAAAGAAGATTGAACAAGTGCTGTAATTATCACGAATGATTTTACTTTATCGAAAATGAATAGGTAATATTCGGTTACAAAAAAAAAAAAAAAAACAGTTGTTTAACGATCAAACATTGTAAGACAAGTTTTACTGTACTTTTTATATCTTATTCGCGACTAAGATGTTTTTCCTTTTTCTGCATTCCAGTCTGCGTGTACAAGAGACGGATTACCATGTCAAAGTCATATTTTGCCCGCATATCATGAAAATAAATGAGGTACGCGACTAATCAGCATTCCTATTTTTGAAACCACAAAAAAACGCGAGTCTGCGGAAAATGCATTCATCAGACTTTCATTCGAACTCACATTATGATTCTTACAGCAAAATGAAACGACGAAGTTAATAGGTTACGATATCTCCTATTTCGAAATCTCCCGCGCGTCGCGTTCAGTATCGTAGCAAGGAAATTTTCCTCAAGGGGCAAGGTAATGGTAGTATCCTGTAATGGTAAACAGAGATTTTTTTCAATTAATTTATCCGGCTAGTTGTCATTCGTTATTCATAGTGTTGGTTACGAATAAAGTTTTATTCAACTAAAACTTTCAGTAATCAGTTCTCGTATAAAACTTTATCGGATAAAAGAGGAAAGGATTCTTTCGCGTGCTGTTTGGCGCATTTTTACGTGAGATGTTGATGTGAAATTTTTTTATATTTTTCAGCGCACGTATACGTAATACATGCGTATTTTATTTGAATAGAACTTTATTCTTGGTTCGCGAAATAAAAGTTGATCCAGATAAAGTGTTGTTCTCGTCGGTTATCTAGATAAAAATGTGCCCAGCTCTGGTCGCGAGCGACCTCTAGCGACGATGTCCGGAGGGAAGTGGAAACTGAAATGGCGCATGCGTACGGGTCATCGTATACCGTCCCGCCTGCGGACGAACCGAAATAAATCGAACGACGCCGAGGCGATCAGAAGTACGGTGCTCGCTGGACGCGACTGTTTCGCGTTAGTGATGATCAAAACGAGTTGTCGTGGTCGTTGTTTGCGGCATTTCGCGAAAACGAGGGAACCGTGATCCGTGATCGAAGGCTCGAGGTGCAGAGAAGGCCGAGGACACGCGTCGTCGCTCGTTGCCGCGGCCACGGATGCATATGGAGGTGCGTAAACCCCATCGTTTCGATGCACCCTCTTCTTATACACGCGTTCTTTGTTTCCTTTGACAACACCACGTAAATACAAGCCCTCGAGGCTGGTGCCTCCACGCAACTGCCATTTTGCTGTGGTCCGTCGTGTCGGTTCCGCGAAACGCGACGTCTCCGCGAATAATCGAAAGTGCAACGGTTCCGTTTACCCATGGGTGAATTTATCATCGGTGATACCCGTACCATCGACTCGTAGTTCGCGAAATTCATTAATCTTGTACACTGTCTCGACCAGTTACTTCGATATCGACGGCCGGAGTGACTTTGAAACGCGCTCGGGTGAATCTACGTTCGTGTTGTTTTTCCCATTCTCTGTGCATCGAACGACGCAATACTATTTTTTTTTTTTTTTTTGTTCTTTCTACCAAGTCTCTCGGTATTCAGTGTACGGTCATTCACAGCGTCGAAACAGCGTCGTCTTTAGCTGAATCGTGGTGCACGTATTTCGTGCGACGATGATCTCTCTCTTGGAAACAGGAGCGAGATTAAAAGTACGTGCGCACACGGCATCAGACTTTGTGTACGCTCTCAGCTGACGGGGGCCTGTCAGCTGCCTTACACGAGAAGATCAGGGCCGTCGCTTCGTGGCGTTTCACGCGATTCTTCCCGTTACCGTCTTCGTCGCGTATTTCCTCGCTCGTGCACCTTTCGTCTTCGATCCTGTACCGTAATTAGGACTTTTCCACTTAGTAACAGTGCAAAATCCGCCGTATCGAACGGGTCTGTCGTCACGTCTTCACGTGTGTGCGTGAGACGATTCTTTCGTTCCGTTCTTAACCCCTTCGTCCACCTAGAGACAGTGTACATCGTTTCTTTTCACGATGCGTATTCGAATTTTTTTTGTTTGTCACGCGCGAACAGTCTCGTTAAAACATTTCAGAATAATTCCAAACACGTAAACACACTCTGTTGCTATTTCCAACGATAATACCAAACTGGTTTCCGTCAAAAATGACACCGCGGCCACGAAAGGGTTAGTTTGCAAATCGCTTAGCGACCTTGGCTAACTCGTCGAACGCATAATTACAATTTCGCGTCGATTTATTCGTCATTACGGACACGCTTTCCCGGTTCGTGTTTCTCGACACGTTTCTGTTCGCATTTTCGTCGTTATTCCCAGTGAACCGTAGTACGCGCGTTTGCAACGATAAATTTCACCGACGTCCGACCGGCAATGTCACCAAGATAATGCGCGCTGGCTCGTCTTTTGTACACACTCGCAGCTGATTCAACCGCCGCGTCATAAAAATGTTTCGAACTCTATTATCTCTTTGGGTCGTGTGCGTGTATACTGAATGTGTTTCACGGCGTGCTGCCGGAAGGCTTCAACGGTCTAAAAAAAAAAAAACATACATAATGTCTCTCCCGACGGTAAGACAAAACAGAGAACGATAAAAGAATCGACGCGTTCCAAACACGACTGACAAAAGTGATACGATTGCGTACGACACGAACCACTCGCAAAATCCGATGTTTTAGTTTTACAATCCTTAGTTTGAAAGTGTTATATCGTGCGTACGTGCAGTCTCGCGGTATACTTCTCCTTAGCGCGATGTCGGAAGGCTTCGATCGCTTTGGAAAAAAAAACCTACATAATACACTCCGCTGTAAGAGAGCGACAGAGAGAATCGACGTAACGCTTCTTGTCTAGCGTTTCGTGACGATCAAACCGCGATCGATTTTTCGACCGTAAATATTTGGCGAAGCCAGTGAACGTCCAACTAGCTGAAATCGTTCCGAAACGGTCGGTCGTGTCCATCTATTTCCCTTCCATCTATCGATCCGTAATTCGACTACGGTTTTCTTGAGACACGTTCCCGTGTGTTACCGCCTTTCGAATTTAATAGACCGTAGAACACCGGGCGTGCGTGGATGCGCCACGGAGCGCGCATATTAAAGTGCAATTCACTTTGAAAGCGACATCCGTCGCCGTCAGGACGCTTACATGGAAAATTAAATATGCGCGACGAGTGACGAAGGACGATGACCCGAATTAACTAAACTCGAAGCTACTGCTGCTGCTCCGTGCTTGTTCCTCTCCCAGTGTGTTTATTTAAGTTGCAGTAGCGTAGCGTCGCCGCGGGTCCCCGTATACCAACACGGTCCGGAGTTGGACAACAATTTTTACCTAAACTATGAATAATAGCTGGCGGGACACTCTTACGCGTGAGTCACGAATAAAGTGTATTTGTTCGTTATGTAAATGAAGAAACAGTACATGCACGTCTTTTAAATGCAACGTGCGACAAGCACAACGAAATAATTACACACCGCGTACGATATTCCCACACATACATGTGCGGTAGAAACACGTGCGCCCATAGAGGATTATTTTTTTATTTGCATAACGATGAAATATTTATTCCCTCGCGTTCGTTATCCGAATAAATATTTTAACCAGGCAATTATCCATATAAAGGTTTGCTTAAAATTCTACGACTTCAAATTCTGCTACTTAAAATTCTACGATTTAAAGTTCTGCTCAACTTTGCTAGAAATTCTATTCCAGCCTAGAATATCGTAGCTTCTTCTTCGTCCCTGTTGCCACGCGTGCGAACGCGTAGGGACACAATCCCTTTTCTTTTTTCCCCGTCACGAAAAAGCACTTCCACGGCTTCGAACTGAAACTCCGGTTGCTATGGGCGCTCGCGGGCTGTCGACCGACGGGGCGCGTGCGTTGACCGCCAATAGGCGTTCTTCGAGCACGGTTAACGAACGCCTCCGCGTAATTTCCGCACGCGGATGATGTTAATCGACTCGTGTGCATCTTCCGTCGAGAAAGTTCGCAATTAATAATGCTCAATTAAGCAATTTAACCGAGACGTACACACGCTTTCGCGAAACTCGCATACCCGGTGTCGTCATTAAAATTACCGCTCGCCGTCATTTGAATTTCCAGCCGGGAGAAACTACGCAATTAGAAGTAATTAGCGGGATAGATGTTATTGGCGTGTAATACGTTCGCGATTATTCGGTGCATTCGTTTCGCGCTTGTATCACAATCTGTCCAAAAAGAAAGAGAAGAAACAGAAGCAAATTACTCCCGTTATCGGTGGGGAGCCGCGAATCAGGAACGGAATATTTCACGCGAGGAAAAATGCATTGTTCCGTTTGCGCGAACTCGTGGACCTGTTGGACGACGCTTTTGTGTACGTTTACAGCTGATTGGGCTGTCAGCTGGGCTATGCGCCGGATGGAATCGTCCACGGGCTGGCCAACGCACGTTCCACCGACGCTCTCCAGGGGGCCTTGTTTTTCTTCTATTTCTTTTTTTTTTTCCCTTTTCTCGTTCCCAGCGCGACGCCAACGGGGGCAATGGCTCTTGCAATCTTTAAACTTATCCCTACTGTGAGTTGCGCGCGGTTGGGATGAAGCGAAGGGGTTACGTGCGTATAAATACGGTGCACGTAAATATAAATACTCGTGATTCACCGATCCTGCGCGAACAGGACCACAGAGATATTATACAGGGTGTCCCAAAAATGTTGGAGGTCCTTGAAAAGGGTGGTTCAGGGGGTGATTTGAAACAACTTTTTCCTTAGCGAAATTGTTGTCCGAGGCTTCGTTGAGGAGATATTAACGAAAAACACTGACCAATCGGAGCGCGCGGATACCGTTGGAGCGGCCGCGGTAGCGATGGCTACGCGCTAGGTAGCCGCTCTCGTACGCGAACAAGTGACTCGACGTGCATCGAAGGATATTGACGCGGCCGCTCAGCGCGTAGCCTTCGCTACCGCGGCCGCTCCGACGGTATCCGCGCGCTCTGATTGGTCGGGTTTTTTTTATTAATATCTACTTAACGAAGCCCCATCCGACATTTTTGCAAAGGAAAAAGTTGTTTCAAATCACCTCCGGAACCACCCCTTTCAAGGATCTCCAACATTTTTGGGACACCCTGTAGATGGAGTATAGGGGACCCCGTACCACAGATAGAAAGAGAACGGAGACCGTCGTAATCTGTCTGTCTTTGTCTACCAACGCATGCGTATAAGTGCGTATTTCCCCGCTAGTTCCGAATATCTCGTTGTTAACTCGTTATTCGATTATTTTCTCGTAACATTTTCTCGTTACTAGACCAACATGTCTACGTCTTCCCTGCTTCATCTTGGGAAATGAAAAATTTCACGAACGACGCCAGCGTCGAGAACCGGGACATACCACGTACGATTCCCATTCATTAATCGAGGAGCGATTCCTTGTCAGGTAGAGTTCCGTCGGAACGTATTTTATCAGCGCGGCGCTACCGACGTATTATTTTCTTCGCTTACACTTGATTAAACTCGGCGGTGGGGCTCGCGATCAAAAACCTCGCTATCATTTATCACTCCGGACGGCCGGTTCGTTGTACGTGCGTGACCTACGCAACTCCGTCGCGCCTTTTCGCCGATTTTTTGCCCGTCTGCTTTCCCCATTTTCCTTCGTCGAAAGCGTTCGGGAATCGTACGCAATTCCCGTCGTGTGATCGCGACCCTTCATCTCGTTACGTATTTATAACGCGTTTGGGGAATCCTTATCTCGTTCGTCCGGGTATTAACGGAGAACGACGGGGAACGCTACGTCCAAGTCCGTTCACTGTTCCCGGTGCGTTGATTAAAACGTTTGGAATCGAACGGATGGTTGCGACACGCGCGGAAAACAATAAGGCTACGGTTTATAACGCCGCACGGTAGAACGTGTCATTCTTAGGCTAACTGCGCATCACGGGGACTTGGAATTAATTTGATCGTTGCCTGTGAATAGATATCGGTCTTTACACGCTGCTCTTTTCGTAACACGGTTCTCTTTAAGACGCGAGTGTCTTAAACGCGTTCATTTTGTGATCGCGAGCTTAGAATAGTTACAACTATCGAATTTCTTAGAAACTCCTCGGACAAATTCCTACCCGTCCCTTTGTTCCAAAAAACGAAGCAGCAGCAAGTTCGAAAATAAATTTAAGCGCGTAAATCGAAGGGCTTCTTCCTTTTTCCGTGGTTCGCTTTCGTTCAGGTTGGTTCTCGTGGCCTTGGAACCGACCAAAGTACGTAGAAGTGTTTCCAATTCGTGCATCGTCGAGCGAGTGTTTTTCTTTGATTTCACTCGCATTTGACGAACCAATAATCGAAGCCGTACATGCTGTACGTGAATATATATCCGTGGGACACATATGTGCACGCCGCCGCCCCCCTCCCACCCCCCCCGTACATGTTTACCCGCGTCTGGAGCATCTATATGCATAAACCGGCAGGGAAAAAGCCGTGCACGTATAACAGGAAGGGAAGAGGGCGGCTAACCGCCAGACTAAAGCGAAACAGGTTATTTACAGTTGAATCTCCATTATTCGAACTTCTGTTGCATTGTTTTACTATTCCGACGGAGTATGGACGCCGTAGTTACGTTCTTTCGAAGCAGCGTTTCTCAACCTAGCCAGCGGGTTCAGTTTATCGTTCTCGACGAGTGCCACTGAAAGATAAGGATTAAAGCCGAGATTTTTTTCCGGCGTCGTCGTTATCGTACTTTATTTCCATAATTACGGCTGCGTAAAACGCCAGCTGGGATTATTGTAATCGTCGTCGAGCGATTCGCTCGGAAAGGTGATTCATTCGTTCGCACGTGGAACGGTTGTCGCGTACTACGCAATTCACAATGGTCACGAATTCGCACGTTTTCTGGTTGTATTTCGTGACTCACGCCGGGGACCTGGAAATGTTAGAAACTCGCGTTTTCGCGTAGCGTTAAAAGGATCAACGAACCCGAGCGGTTGCAACGCGACCGAAACTTTTGCTCGAGTTAATTCAAATCAATTTCTGTTGTAGGACTATGTCACAGGACGGTGTTTTAAAAAATGTTCTTGCGGTGCACGCGCGTTATTACAGAGGTAATATAAAAAAAAACATTGCTTTACCGATAATTAGAATGAGGTCGAAATATAGTATACAGGGTGTCCCAAAAATGTTGAAGGTCCTTGAAAGGGGTGGTTCCGGAGGTGATTTGAAACAACTTTTTCATTTGCAAAAATGTCGGATGGGGCTTCGTTAAGTAGATATTAATAAAAGAAACCCGACCAATCAGAGCGCGCGGATACCGTTGGAGCGGCCGCGGTAGCGAAGGCTACGCGCTGAGCGGCCGCGTCAATATCCTTCGATGCACGTCGTGTCACTTGTACGAGAGCGGCTACCTAGCGCGCAGCCATCGCTACCGCGGCCGCTCCAACGGTATCCGCGCGCTCCGATTGGTCAGTGTTTTTCGTTAATATCTCCTCAACGAAGCCTCGGACAACAATTTCGCCAAGGAAAAAGTTGTTTCAAATTACCCCCTGAACCACCCTTTTCAAGGACCTCCAACATTTTTGAGACACCCTGTATACAGAGGGAGACTTGTCGAATCGAAATATAGTAAATACAATTGTATACAATATCGAGATATATCAAATCCTCTTTATCGGATCAAGATTTGATACGTATCTTAATGTTGTATACACCTTCGCACATGTTTACCTGATATGATCTCCCGACAGGAAAAATCGTTCCGTAAATAAATAAAATATCCCAGATTGTATTGTTATTATTATTATTGCACGAGGATCGAAGTACGGTTCCAACCCGGAGAAAACGTTCCCGGGCAAGCAACGTTTCCTTATCGTGGCTCGTTTCCTTCTGACCGCCGTGTGCACGGCACCGTTATATTGTATATAATTACTTAGTGTGCGTGCGTGCAATCTCTCGCCTGTGATTCAACAATCTTGGTCGTTTTAGAACTTCCCGCGAATTATTTATAAAACGGCTGTACCTTACGAGTTTATCTGCATGCTAAGTGAACGCCGTTCTCGGTTCGACGCGTCCCGTGTGTAATGCAAAACTTGTTGCGAGGAAAACGCGCAACGTCGACTTCTTTAGAGTCATTGTTCTCGCGAGGGGTACGATGATACACATTGCACACACTCTCTAATCGCTTGTCTGCTGCTCGTTGGCGGATGCGTCGTGATTTCTCGGTTACCAACGCGTACAGAAACTATTAGGTTGTCCCGAAAGTTTCTTTCGTTTTATTAATAATTAATACGTAAACAATATTTCATGTTTCATGTTACATTACTGAATCGTGTACGATTCATTTCGCTTCGTTACTGTTACAGCATCAACGTCTAAGAAATTAGTGTGTCTATTTATAGAAACACTGCCACAGAAAATAATTGAATGCAACCCACGAAAGAAACTTTCGGGACAAGCTAATATTTTCAAACATTATATAGTTCACAATTGGGTTAGATACTTGCAAGCAATTGGGTTAGATGTATATCGATATCCACTCTAATGAGTGTACAATCGTGTCCAGGAGATATTTTTACAAGTAGCACGTTCAAGTATCTAGGCAGGTGACCTTAGGACCGCGAAATATTGATATTCCTGTTTGCTAAAAGACTTTCAGCTTACGACTTTCGTAGCTGGTATTCGTTACAGACCCCCTCCTTTGATCTTTGCATAGAAAAGAATCGCGTGGTCGTCTAAGGGTTAAATTTATCGCGCAATGCTCTCGGTTCGCGGAATGGAGAAACAAATATCGGCGTGCACGTTTCGTGGAAACAACCGTCTGGGTGATATCTGGACTGTGTTACGTTTGCCATTTTATTCGGTCGGTAAAATCTCCACGGAAACGTCGATTATTTTAACGTCGAAGTGGATCACGATAACATTTGCGTTCGCGTTCGAGTATCGCTACGTGAATCGCTCGCGAGAATTCCCGGCGGTCGATTCGATTGAAAAATTGATAAAATATCATTCTTTCGCGGATATTAGACGTGCTCGCGCGGCTCGAGCGATCTTTATCCGTCGAGCAGTCTGCGTGACGTATTGAAGCCGTATCTTCCCGCGCACGAAAAAGAAACATGGCCGATGAGCAAGACCCGTGTATACATGCAATAAGGACACGACGACGATGACGGTGATCTTAGCGAACTTTTTTCCATGTTGTTTGCCTGAAGTTTAACTTTTCCCCTACCGTTCTGAATTAGTGTTGGTATTATTTTTGTACCATACTGATTAGATCGAAGAATATCCTGTTTAATTTTATTTTTGTTTGTTTTTGAAAATTTTCAAACCCTTTGTTTCGAAGGTAATCGTTAAGATTTTAGTTCGCGTCAGGAGTTTTAAGACACCTTGTACATTTCACGGAAATCCCCAGAAGCTACGAAATGGATCGAGACACGCCTCGAAATTCTGTTGACGCGCACTGTTTACGTTTGCATGAAAGATGGTATTTTGACGCGCGCGATACGCGTCGAAGCTCCCCGAGCGATAAAGAAAGAAACTACGCAACAGACGCCACTCGTCGCCTCTCTTTATCGCAAATGTTTGTGTTTACAGTGCGCTCTGTATTCGAAGTACGTGTATCCGTTATTTACAACGCTCAAGAAAGTTCGACGCAATTCCAATGTTAACCGCGGCGCACGAGAAGCGTCTAGCTTTGCATTGCGAAAATACACGATCCTTTTGTATCCATTCGTTTGTTGCGATCGTTCGTGCGTCGTACACCTTTTGTCCAGCGTCGATCTTCGCGCATAGATCCCGTATTTCACCCAGATATCAATTCGTGAAACAGAACGAGAAATTTATATTTATTAGGTATACCGGAAAGTTCGTTCTGGTCTGTCCGTTCTGGTTACGAGTTTCAACAAGTATGCATATATTCATTAAAAATGATATGCAAAGTGCAATCGCTTTGGCAAGATGTCATAAATAGTGATAAAAGTTATATTATCAAATTAAATTTATTCGAGGTATGAAAAATTCTGTCCGTTTTTAGAATAAAACATAATAATACATTTGTCATACCTCGAATAAATTTAATTTGATAATATAATTTTTTAATATATATATAATATTTTTAATATATATATATATGTATATATAATATATATATATATGTAGAGATCTGAATGAAGCACAAGGCACGGAAAAGAAAGATTTGAACCCACGATCCCTTTACCAACAGGACCAATCCCATAATTTAATTCGACACCTGTCCATCCAGTTTAAGACCATTTTTCAAACGTGCTATTTTATTTCCACCGAGGACAGCTCGTTTACCGTTCACGGGTATCTGATCGGCGAGCTTCGCGTGTCGGAAGACTCCGTGTGTTTTTCAAGGAAAAGGTCAGTTTACAAAGGTCAAGAGACGTAGATATACCGATCCATTCGTGAGCGTCGCACGAAATATAACCTTATCGCGAGTTGTTTAGCAAACGTTCGCAAAAATCGTCGTGATCTTTTTTTCTCCCTCGTTGGTATCGCGAAAGACGTCGATCTACGTTCATGCATGTAACGGGTTTGAGGCCGTATCACGGCGTACCGCCTTCCATGCGAGCAGGGCCGGTTTACGTGCGAGGAAACGATGCATCGCGTCTTTTTTCTGGACTTGGAAGGTAAAACAAGAACAAAGATAGATTGACAGAGTATTTTAATAAGATAATTCATACGAGCAAATATTGTACATAGGCGTAGAAATTAATCCTGTGCTTCTGTGACTCTCTATCCTGGGAAATTTAACGAAGAAAAATATTTTATACGTTTTAGTTTGTGTAGTAACGTGTACGTATAATACAATATCATGTCCTGTTCAAAATTATATATATATATAAAATATATATTATTTCTCTGCACCAGGGCCCCAGTGACGCTACCGCCGTGCCTGCACGCGATATGCAATAGAAAACATTTTGTCAATACACGCGATGACGCGCGGAGTCGTGACTGTATTGCATGACCCGCGATGCGTGTTCGTTCGACCGTGGGTCAGACACGTGATCGCCTTCTCGCGAATGCCATAGTATTCACGATCATGTATTTAACCCTTTCTGTACAGGGTTAGTTGTTGAAAAGAGTTCATCGATTGTTGCGCGTGGTGCCGAACCACCAGCTGCACCGACGGTCTTTCGCTTTCTTCATCTTTTTGCGCGGCCGAGATTACAGATGTCTCGCTTATCGCCGTCCTAACCTGTCATCACGCTCTACATCGAATCGGAAACGCAATTATACGAACAAAACGAAATCGCTATCATCGAACGCGTCGAATGAATTCTTCGAGCAAGGAGAAGTATCAGTTGTAGTAGATGTATCGGCTATAGTCGATGCGCAACAATTGACTCGTGCGATCCATGTACGGGATCCCATTTTAACCACTTTCACGTTGTTAGCATCGAATCCAGTAGTTATTTTTACCAAGTATTTCGAGGAGGTTATGTCTCAATCGGTCTAGCTTCGTTCCAGACGAAGTCGCTTTCTAGATGCGAAGGTCACCTTCGTTTTCTTACATAGAATGCTACATTTTTTGTTGATTACGTTTCTACGTTTCAAGTAGACGAATCCAACACGGTGCATATTTTATTCATGGCCTGTAGACGTAAAAACGTAGAACGGAATATTGTTAAAATTCGAGAAGGAATCGTGTCTTCTTAGGGAGCTAGAATCGTGTACATTTCACGTGTCTATTTACGGTAACCCATAATTTCGAACGGCGAGCTATAGATGGCACCACATAGAAAATTTATATCCCAAGAATACAAGTATGCGTACTCGTGCGAAGACCGTTTTTATATATGCACTATCGAGTGCATCTAGATCCATCTAGATCTTCGATTACTTTGTGTCGCAGAAGTAGTCTTATCAATGTATAACGCGATTCTTGTCGGCGGTATTATCGTTTCGTGGTTCTACGTCGTATCGAGTACGAGACTTCGATCATTTTCGATCTATACAATTAAGTACCCATTCAACGCTCGCCGTAAGACATATGCGCAGCCTGTTTCGCATGAAACTTTCGTTTCGCTGCATTGTGAAAGAGAGACCGAGCAATGTTCTTGCGGGCGCATTTAGAACCGGCACG